CACCTTAGGTGTATGTGGCTGGTGCCTTTGCCACTTGAGCCACAGGCGCCGAGCCCATCTTCCCTCTTTAATCCATTTTCCACAATGTAGCCAGAGTCATCGTTGGAAAATATGGTGTGAGAGTTCTAAGAGATCTGCTTTAAAAAACACAAAATTATTATAGTACACCATAGTGCAGAAATTTCCTTATTTCATGTGCCTTTGGGGATGAATTTGTGTAGGGAGAAGGAAGGAGCTGGATCATCTCAAGGTGACTATGATATGAACATTGCCACAAAAGCATCTTCGTGTGTATCCGAAAGCCTGTCAACTTGTCTGATACTGATTTGTTTTTTGTAGGTGTACAGGGTTCATATTTCAGAAGGTTGGAAAGTTGGCTGCAACAGCTGTGGGAGGTGGATTTTTTCTTCTTCAGGTCTGTATGCCAAATGTTCTTAGATGTCTTAATTGGAGTGTGCCCCATTTCTTTCTGGGGCTCTAACAGAAGAAAGTGGTATTGGAAGAGGCTCTAGACTCAGTGCCTGTAATTCTAGCACTGAGAGGCCATGGTGGGCTGATTGCGTGAGCTCAGGAGTTCAAAACCAGCCTGATCAAAGAGCAAGACCCCATCTCTAATAAAAATAGAAAAACCTAGTTAGGCCTGGTGGCACATGCCTGTAGTGCCTGATACTTGAGAGGCTGAGGCAAAAGCATCTCTTGAGCCCAAGAGTTTGAGGTTGCTATCATTTATAATGACCCCACAGCACTCTACCCTTTTCGTGAATCAGAGCTGGAAGGGGAACAAACCAGAGTGGAATTGGTGGGGAATGAGGAAAATATAGCACAAGAGAAGACATGGAAAGAAAGGATGGGACTGGGAAGACTGAGCTGATGGCTACAGCCAGCACCAAAGCATAAAATCAGCTTTATTTTATAGTATCTCCACAAGGTTGTCCAGGGGAAAGTAGCATAGACAAAATGGGGAAATAGCATAAACTAAAGACATAGTTTTGGTCTTAAAGTACAATAGGAAAATATAAATGACTTTAACAAAGGCAGATCATCTTGTTAATGGTTTCTGCTCAACTTCGTTAACATATGACAAGAAGGGGCCATGCTCAATCGGGTAGGGTGCTGGCCCCGGCCCCATATGGCCCCATATGCGGGAGGTGGTGGGTTCAAATCCAGCCCTGGCCAAAAACTACAAAAAAAAAAAATATATATGACAAGAAGCAGGAAGGGGAAGATCAGGATGATCTCAGTGTAGTTAATAAAACAAAGGTAAATCTTGGGCAGCACCTGTGGCTCAGTGGGTAGGGTGCCAGCCCTGTATGCTGAGGGTGGCCGGTTCAAACCTGGCCCCAGCCAAACTGCAACAAAAAAACAGCTGGGTGTTGTGGGGGACCCCTGTAGTCCCAGCTACTTGGGAGGCTGAGGCAAGAGAATTGCCTAAGCCCAGAATTTGGAGGTTGCTGTGAGCTGTGTAACACCAGGGCACTCTACTGAGGGTGACAAGCCTGAGACTGTCTCTACAAAAAAAAAAAAAAAAAAAAAGGAAAACTATGTGACTTAGTGGTTACTACTTAACTTCTTAACTTTGATAGCATGTGACAAGGAGAAAGAAGGGAGAGATTTCAAGGATCTCTGCATAGTTAACCAGACAAAGAAAGGGCTACAAGACTTTTGGCAGAGGGAGCATGAAGAAAGGAATGTGGCTATTTTAGGAACAGAGGAGAAGCAGTTGGGCATTCATTCTCTGAATGTTCCCCAGGCTGTGAAGGCCCTGCCAGTCTCATAGCCCAATCGCTACATACCCTGGGCAACTGAGTGAAACTCTGTTTCACAAAAAAGGGAGAGGCTGTAGAAAGGACCTTCAAAATGACATTGCGGTGTTGGTTAAGTCCAGTATTCAATGAGTAGAGGGATATCTCCTTGCTAGGGGAGATGGGATGTAGGGAGTCTTTGGTGAGCACTTATGTTATCTGTCACCATAGGGCTGAGGGTAGGGGGCAGGCATGATATTGGGAGATCCTTTAATCAAATTTGTTAATTACTTTCAAAAATTCAGTTGAAATTTTTCTTTTTTTTTTTTATTCATTTTCGAGACAGACTCTCACTGTGTCACCCTTAGTAGATTGCTGTGGCATCACAGCTCATAGCAACCTCAAACTCTTGAGTTTAAGTGATTCTCTTGCCTCAGCCTCCAGAGTAGCTGGGACTACAGACGCCCACCACAACCACACCACCTGGCTATTTTTTGGTTGCAGTTGTCATTGTTGTTTAGCTGACTCAGGCTGGTTTCAAACTCACCAACTTCGGTGTATGTGGCTGGTGCTGTAACCACTGTGCTATGGGTGCCCAGCCTGAGTTGAAATTTTTATTGGAATTTCATTGGAACCATATATTTAAATTGGGGAAGAATTAAGTATCTTTTATGATATTGAGTCGCCTATCTGTGAACATGAATTTTCTCTCCAATTTTTTAGGTCTTTTTGAATATTTTTGAACAGATTTTTATTATTTTTCCATACAGATGTCTGTACTTCAGTTTTATTTATAGATGTATTATTATAACTTTAATTGCTCTGGTGGATGATGTTTCTAAAACTACACAGTCTAATTTATGCTAGTTTGTTGAGGTAACGTTGATATTTTGTATTTCTCTTATAGCCAGCCACCTTGCTAAAGTCTCTTATTTCTGAATTATCTGAGATTCTTTGGGGTTTTGTCTGAAATTAATTGCTTTTGCTTACCAACCTGTAGGTAATTTCCAGCATTTTTTTAAACTTTCCAGCCCACATGTGCAGGCAGCCCATCCTGTGTTCTGATTTCAATCACTACAGAACAGCAACACTTATGGCGAATGTGCTCTTCTGGAAGCATGATGTTAATCTTGGCCTGAAGAGGGTACTACACAGACCTTGCGGGGGGAGGGGCTTTCTTTTCCCAGTTTTGCTGTTGTGTTTTGCTTCTTAGCTCCTACAGTGTATAAATATGACACAGTTTGTTTATTCATGTAAAGCTACTATGACAGGAGCTGCCATTCCAAAGGTAATATTAATGGGATGTGCAATTTCAGTGTTGGTAGGTGATGACAATTTGTTCCAGGAAAAAGACTATCAGTTAACACTCTCAGGAACAGTATATGAGTATCTGTTTCCCAACATCCTTCCCAACACTGAATATTGTCAATCTTTTATTTTTTGTGCAATATGATAAAATGTGTCAGAAACAAAACATTAATACTTATTAAAGTGAAGTTCTTATACAGATTGGAAATTTAGAACAGCCACTTGAAAAAAATGGATAAATTATGTGCTTTTCCTTGTATGTCTATCATGAAGTTGCCCATGATAAATCTCTGGAAGCACATGCTAAGATTCCTTTCTGAGCAACTGGTATCTTTTCTCCTGTTAAGCAACAGTGCTTTCTGTCTGACAGCCTTGCTGTGTTCACATTGTCAAGAAACTTAGACATTCATAGGCAAATTGACTTCTCAGAGTTGATCTGTGGAAACATTGGTGTTGGCTATAAGTGCCAGCTCTTCACCTTTCATCTTGTCCTCTCTACTCTTATTTTCATTTTACCATTTTAGTTTTAAGCTAACTTAAAACTTTCTAAGGGGGATGAGAGTATAAATAAATTAAAATAATTGCTAGCAGTTATTTACAGTGCAAGGCTAGGTCCTTGCATATAGAGTGGATGCCATCTTCATATAAATAATCAGATGGCAAATGCTTCCAAAAATGGAAAGCAGTCTACTTCATGATTAATACTGACAAAAAACATATAACAATACTCTGCTTCTCATTTCTTATTGTCATTGTGGTTGAAACTGAAGCTTGCAAACCATACTGGGTATATCAAAGTTGACTGGCAGCGGGTAGAGAAGGACATGAAGAAAGCCAAAGAACAGCTGAAGATTCGTAAGAGCAACCAGATACCTACTGAGGTCAAGAGCAAAGCTGAGGAGGTGAGACTTGTTTATATGCAATATGAGAAGGGTTCATACAATTTTGTGTGTAAAAATGGGGTAGACATACCAATATCTCAGTAATGGACAAGTCTTAAAGATTATAAGGAAGTTGGAATAATGAGACAAAAGCCTAACTTGGAATATCTTCACTTCAGAAGGATTTTTTGAGAATCTAGATAATTAAACTGTTTGGTACCTCTTGTGTGAGACTGCAAAGTGATATAGTCCTTGTCCCTGTTCATTTCTAGATTGATTTTGAATCATATTTTGTCTCCATGCACACATATCTCTGAAACATTCATACTGTGCTTGTTCTACAGAAGACAAGTCCTGGAGTCAGCACTCTTTCTGTGAAGGGCCAGATAGTAAATGTTTTCAGTATAATGGTGATTCTACTGTATAGTGTGAAAATAGGCATAGATGATATATGAACAAGTGGGTGTGGCTGTGTTGCAATAAAACCTTAATTTAAAACATGTTTGGCCCATGAGCTTGTATTATGCTAACCCCTGATCTAGAGCATAAATCAGGTTAGGTCATACTTACTGGCACGGGAGGGACAAAAGAAGTCCTTTCCTCTTTTTTTTTTTTCCCATGGCTATATAAACCTTTATTGTATAGGTAGGAGGGTGGGTCATAATTTATTTTATTTTTTTTTTTTTTGAGACAGAGCCTCAAGCTGTCCCCCTGGGCAGAGTGCCGTGGCATTACAGCTCACAGCAACCTCCATCTCCAGGGCTCAAGCGAGTCTCCTGCCTCCGCCTCCCAGGTAGCTGGGACCACAGGCGCCCGCCACAACGCCCGGCTATTTTTTTTGGTTGCAGCCATCATTGTTGTTTTGGCGGGTCCGGGCTGGGGATTCGAACCCGCCACCTTAGGTGTACGTGGCTGGCGCCTTAGCTGGTTGAGCTACAGGCGCCGAGCCGTCATAATTTATTTAACAAATCTCTTGTTAGAAGTCCTTCCTCTTTAAAAGGATGTCTTTTGCTACTACTTTATTACTTTTAGAAATATGTCAGATGTCCCAAAGAAATAAGTGCAGTGAACTAGGAAGAAATAAACCAAGATGAGGGTGTGAAGAAGGGCGCTAGTACCTTCTACAGCCTGCAGTGATAAAATTATACCACTAGCTCCCTCTAGATTTGCAGGGAAAAAAGTAGTCATGTACTGAGTGGCTTTTCGTGCTAGGCACTGGGGACTTACAGGTAAATAAACCAGTCTTTGTCCTTGAGGTAATCATGTTCTAGTACCAGTGACAGAAAAAGGTCATATAATTAAATAGAATAGGTGGTAGTAGATGAGGTATTTAGGTTAAACATGGCAAAATAAAACACACGCCTTTATCTTTTATTCCTTCTGCATTATTTCTGAATGATAGTAACAACATATAAAACGTCATACCCACAAGGATCAAGAGAATAGGAGAGGAACACCAGTACACAACAAATGTCAGCAAAGTTTTGGAAGTAGGAAAACAGATAATTGAGTGGTAATTGAGTTAGCAGAGTAGAAAAACAATGAACAGATGACAGCACAGCAATACCAGGTACATGGTGACAGTCTCTGTATGATGGCAAGTGGTCAGTCAAAGCTGTGCCTTTACCTAGAATGGGAAAGTTCCAAAGGTAGGTAGCTGGTATTCTCTTCCTTGTGTCCCTTGCACTCAATTTCCAGGTTACAAAAGTTATACTTTTTATTTCACTGAAACATTATTCAAACATTTATATGAGTAATACATGATTATTAAAAACTTTTAAAATAACACCAGAAGTATATATAATAAGTGTAATATAAGGTTAATGTTTGACTGTTAACAAGCTGTTGACTTACGGAGGGGAGCTTGTCATAAACTAACCAGATGATTTGGAATTGATTCATTCCACAAATTATTTATGTTCTTGTTCCTGGCCCAGCACTGTCACAGGCCTTGGGGATATTGTGGCTGATCCTCCACTCATAGAGGCCATAGTCTGATTTGGGAAGTAGGATGAACATGAAGTTCACTGTTTAGCAAAAATGTCACTTCAGTGAGACCAGTTTTAATGGAGGGGTGGTTTAGCAAAAGGGTCACTTCAGTGAGATCAGTTTTAATGGGCTGGTGGAGTTGAAGGTGGTACAATAGCAAGTTGAAGAAAGTATAGGAAGTAAGAAAGTAAACATAATAAAGGCAGTTATTTCAGGAATTTATGTGATTTTTTTTTTCCATATGAGGCCAGATGGCAGAAGTGCCCTATTTAGGGAAATGTGGAGGTCCAGGAGAATTAAGGGATATGGAAATGGTACAGGAAGACATAGGCATGTTGGGAGTGAGGGGACTTTTGAAGGTAAGGAGACAGTAATCCAGAATGGTCAGGGAATGCCAATGTGTGTCTAAGTGATTTGTAGATGAAATCACTGTAGTTGAGTTCAAGAAATAGTCAGGGCAGGGTGCTTGATGTGGTGTTCATATAAACACTTTCTTGGCTCTGCACCTGTAGCTCAAGTGGCTAAGGCACCAGCCACATACACCTGAGCTGACAGGTTCGAATCCAGCCCAGGCCTGCCAAACTACAATGATGGCTGCAACCAAAAAATAGTCAGGCATTGTGGTGGGTGCCTATAGTCCCAGCTACTTGGAAGGCTGAGGCAAGAGAATTGTTTAAGCCCAGGATGTGGAAGTTGCTGTGAGCTGCTGTGAGTGATGTCACGGCACTCTACCCAGGGCAACAGCTTGAGGCTCTGTCTCAAAAAAAAAAAAAAAAAAAAACAAAAAAAACACTTTCTTTCTTTTTTTGTTGCAGTTTGGCTGGGGCTGGGTTTGAACCCGCCACCCTCAATATATGGGACTGGCGCCCTACCCACTGAGCCACAAGCACTGCCTCATATAAACACTTTCTAACATGGAGGTTATACTTGGGAGGAAGAGGAACTTACCGAAGTTCTCTCTGAAGTGGGGTTGGCAGTATGAAGTGGTCAGTAGATTGATAGAGCACAGACAATGGAACCCTAAAGGGCACCCAGGTACATGCTCTGAACCTTAGGTGAGTGAGAATTTTTGCTGGAAGGTAAAAGAGAGGCAGGAAACTTTCAGAGTTTAAGAAAATAAGGATCTCATCTGTTAATCATCCTTGGATGTAATGAAGTGTGAGGAGAATTCATAGCATCTACTTGAAAGGAGGTCTCAGAGAGGAATGGAGGGGCAGACAGGTGGACAAGCAGATAGAGGGATTTGGGGGAGAGACTTCACAGAATGGACAGCCTCCCTTGGAGGGTAGATGTCAAGGAGAATGGACGAAGCAAAATTGGAAATGAGAATTGCCTCTGTAACCAGTTTATTTAGTGATGCTTCACTCTTTCCTCATAACTGTCCGCACGAACTCCGTGTGCTCTTGTCCTTGTGTAAACTCACAGGTGACTCCCTTAGGATCTGTAAGTAGCATTACTAAAAGCAGAATCTGAGGAGTTGTCCTTGACTTCTGATTCCTCCTCATTCCCCATATGGCCAATACATCCAGTTACTAAGTCCTGTCTTAAAAACATTTCTTGAGGGCAGTGCCCATGGCTCAGTGGGTAGGGCACCAGCCCCATATACTGAGAGTGGCCAGTTCAAACCCAGCCCCGGCCAAACTGCAACAAAAGATAGCCAGGCATTGTGGCAGGCACCTGTGGTCCCAGCTACTTGGGAGGCTGAGCAGGAGAATCACCTAAACCCAGGAATTGGAGGTTGCTGTGAGCTGTGACACCATGACACTCTACTGAGGGCGACAAAGTGAGACTCTGTCTCTACAAAAAAAAGTCTCTTGAATTTGATCACTCTATGCTAGCACCTCTGCTACCACCCTGATTCAAATAACTATTTTTCTCACCAGCCCTGATTCCCATAAGGCTCCCTATAGACTTATTCTCCACACAATGGCCAGTGGTCATATTCACATGTAAGTCAATTCATTGACTCCATTGTTATTTGGTAAAGTGCAAACTCCTAAAAGGCAAAGGGATTAACATCTTTAGCAAGATAATTTATTGTACTATTTTCTATTCCCAGGTGGTGTCATTTGTGAAGAAGAATGTTCTAGTGACTGGGGGATTTTTCGGAGGCTTTCTGCTTGGCATGGCATCCTAAGAAGAAAGACTTCACTTCCATTGTTGCTGGTTTTTCCAGCCAGCAGCTTCTACACTCCATTGTAGGATACCAAGTCTCTCTTCTTCCTCTTCTCCTGTGCCTTCTTCCCTGCCATGGCAATTCTGAATGGCTTCTCTAGGCATATGTCGGTACAAGTTAATACAGCCCTACCTTGAGCTTGGTGGTGGCAGAAGAGACAATAGAGACATTAGCTCTCCTCCTAGTACACTCCCCCACTTCGCCAATCTGTAGGTCAGCAAGAATGTTCCTTGTCCTTCTACATAAGATACTTACCAGAACATGTTGCAAGATGGTTCACCACAGAGGATGAGTGGATTCTCAAAGGTTATCTCAAACTGTTGATTTGGAAAAGAAATGTGCACATAGTTTATTATGTGCTGCATGGAAAGGAACTGAATACATTTGCCTTTAAGCATGAAAGATTTTGGTATCCTGGTGTCTATTTTCATTTTTAGCTGGTTTTAGATTGCAGAAAGAGAGCTATTTATATTTGCTATAATTACCCTGACAAAAGTGGCATTGTAAGTACTATGAATGAAAAATCTGAATATGGAAAAGTAGGAGCTGTGCTGAAGGAATGATATTTGGTGGGAATGTCTTTAGGGAAACCAGCTGTTATAAATACATTGTTGGAGGCTCGGCACCTGTGGCTCAAGTGGCTAAGGCGCCAGCCACATACACTAAGGTGGTGGGTTCAAATCCAGCCTGGGCCCACCAAACAACAATGATGGCTGCAACCAAAAAAAAAAAAATAGCCAGGCATTGTGGCAGGTGCCTATGG